TGAAAATGACGCCATTTCCATGACTACTGGTCCCTAAATTCATGGTAATTGCCACTGAGCAAGGCTCAAATATGAGCCCGCCACAGCCCCTGGTTTTTATAAAAATATTTCGGCGTTTTGGAGTGAATCCTTGTTGTTTTGATATTTTCGACATATTTTTTCGACTGTTGACCATTTGTTCAAAGGTGTGGAAGCCGTACACATTAATTCTCGTCCGTGGAGCGTCAAAGACAACAAACAACTATTAAAACCTCGCGAAAGCCGAAATGTGGACAAAAACGATACTTCAAGCCAGAGCAAACATCCGTAAGACCGTATTTATCAGACTATAAACAGGTATTTATAAATATTTCAAAATTCACATTACTATTTTAAATATTTCATGAAAAAATGTTAGGAATAAATGGTAGAATGTACTCTATTTTTTAGAAAACAAGCCACGAGTATTTATGTGGTTGTAGACGAACCTTTTTATAACTTTAAAATATAATAATTTCATCCCTCAATGGCTCAATCGCAAGGAATTACCGTAATGTTTTGCCCAAGTTTGTATATTGTATGCTCTCTGATAGTTTGTTGTATGCATCTTTAAAAGGCCATGCATTAACTTGTTTGTTCCATCCCTAAGAGTATTGGGTTAATTGACTCAAGTGCTGGCATATTTCTGGTGTCCCTGAGGTAAGGGTTGTTAATGCGACAGCTAGGCCAGTAAGCAAGACTCACGGTGTGGTTATTTTTATAGTGGAAATTCCTTTCAAATTGTATGGACAACCTGACTGGCTCAGTTTTCAGATCTCACCTGAACAAGGCAAGCTCTCAGTTACACCGAGAAGATATTTTATGGCTATAAACAGTAACTGGACTGACCTGGTCAAAATAATGTCAAAACAACATTGGTCATGAAAATATTGTCAAAACAATAGAATTGTATCGGCAAAGAAATAATAAATTATTCTCCCAACCAGGCCAACCTTCCATATTGATAGCCCCTATGGCTATAATCTATTCTGAGCCTCCTCCGCAGGCTTCTCTATGGGTTTTAGCCTGCAAATGGGTTCCCATCACTCGATTCCTCGGGTGAGATGCCTGCAGAGGAGGCTAGAGTTCATGCCACTGTTGTTAGTGAAACTCCATACCAAGAAACATGTATTGTAATGTTTCAAAATTAATTAAAGACAAAAATTTGCTTGATTTTGTATATTATTTATTTTAATTAAACTTGCTAATTTCATAATTATTCTGTGACCATGCAGTGAATAATTCTACAACATGTAATACAGTATTATTATAACTAGAGCTCATGCGTTATTTTTTGCCTGTTTGTACAGAGTAAATATTAACACATTCCCACAAAATTATAGAGAAAAGTCAGTGTTGTTAGTTCTGCCAGTTAGGTCTGGCAAGAGGTAGTGCACCACTACTCTTTTTCTTAACATTTGAAACAACTTGTATTAATTTCTTATCCACATGACTTACATCAGTTTCGCCCTAAATGAGAAACGTCGATTATATATATATAAAATAGTGACAGTATCATATGAAGACACTGAAGATGTATTGGGTCACAGATCCCAGACTCTGATTACAGGGAAATTTACTGTAGAGCAGAGCCCAAACTGTTCATTTAGACATTATTGATATGTTAACGCATGGCTTTCCAGTTCGCAATTGTCTGGTGTTAGACAGAGTAAAATAATAAAGTAGGGTGCATTAGGGCACAATGCAACCTAATGGTTAATTAATATGGTATATGTCAGATAAATTGACTCACTGTAATTTTTCACATAGATAGGTTCTGGCATTTATAAGCCCATCTAATATGCCAGGAAATTTTACTTGTCAAGACAACAATTGTCCATTATAAATGGATTAATTGTATTTCTTAACTATCCCAAAGTTTCATTTTACATTAGAATATATCAAAAATAATCTATGCAGATCTAAGAGAGAAAGTTCATAAATATAATGTCTAACTGAACAGTTGGGCTCTACTCCAATATTGGTAACACTCCCACTGAAAATGCTCTCAAACATCAATCAATCATCAGTTATCAATCATCAATTTGATTGGTTAATTGTCAAGGCACAATTTTGGTCAATGCCAAGGGCAGTGATTGAGTGAATATGCATTGGCTGGCACGTACACACCTTCATTCCTACAAATACTTATAACTACAACTCTAATGACTGTGGGATTCATAGAACTCTGACAAACCATGTTGGTCAGATGAATACCATGTAAACCTCTGAATGCTTGTATGCACTTATTAGCATTTTTGATGGGCTGAGCTGTTAGAATGGATCCCTTTGCTGCATTAAAAAATACCTGTCCAAAAATAAGTCCATGGGCTAACACAGAGGGACTTAAATTCGGGAGAGGGCTTATATTCAGAATTTCTTATGGTGGCCGTTCTACACAGGAGGGCTTATATTTGGGGTCTGTCATTGGGGCTTATATATTCAGAGGTTTATGGTTATTGCTTGATTGCAATGGGTATTGAATCATTTGAATGGTTTGAACTTCAGCTGATATCTTTGGCCTAGCAAAGCAATTTTTCAGTTTGCCTGTTGTAGAAGTGACATTTAATATAACTACACAGTATGAAAATATAAATAACTGCTACAAGAACCTGGCAAGGATATATATCACTCAAAGTTTGTCAGGGAAAATTTGTTTATATCTCTATAATACTGAAGTCTGTAGTACTAAATCAATATAAGTGCACAATAAGGATTTTGACACCATAAGCAGCCTTTAAAACCATATGAAAATGCAGAGGCTAGTGGTAAATCACAAATTCCCAACCATTTTTCCTACGGGGATTTGTATTTCTATCGAGTTTAAGCAAGCAAGCTAGAATCTAGAAATATTCAAATATAAAAATCTTACCAGTGAATAAAAATATTCTTCTAGTTCTTGTTTGAAGAGTTCTCATACATACGAGCGGCGCAAAAAGGCAGTGTCCTTTGTAAATCAAGCAAACTGGTATAAAAATATCAAGATTTTCAGTGAGATTTTTACCTCAAAACAAAATTTTTGGGCTGAAACCAGGGGGGTGAAGTACATTCTCGAAAGCTTAGGATCGCGGTTGGGACAGTGGTAGTTGCCATGAATCTAGGGATCTGTAGTCATGGCAATGGCGTCAGATCCGCCATGTTTTTGCGGACACTTTTTTATCCCGAGCAAGTCCTCCAGTAATATATAGTATAGCTCAATGGTTTTGACGAAGAAAACAAGGTAACAACAAAAAATGCTACCTCACGTTTCCATAGCAACCAGATAATTTTAAATGACGAGTCTTTTAAAAGCCAGATTAAACATGGAAAAAATTCAAATGAAAGCAAACAACATGTGCCTATGCTAAATCTAATGTTTGAAGTACCTTTTTTCCTTAAAAATTTTTTTTTCAAAAATTTTCAAATTTTGGGTTAACTAAATTAAATTAAATTAAGAAAATAATATCACAATTGTTGTAAATAAAATAGTCTATGGGCGTCCTGAGTGAGTAATTATACTAGGTATGCGTAATACTTGATGTAAAGCGCATTTGATCATATCTACATGTAAATTTCAGACTAACCAGTAGGACCGCTCAGGGGAGACTAAAGTGAGAATTTTTTTAGCTAGGTCCCAGGTGTAACTCTCTTATACAATTTTATAGTGAACTGCTGCCGTCTACTGGCTAACCTGAAGTTCAGGCCCTAATTTGAAATAGGGCCTGACACAAAACCTGTCTAGACCGTGGGACGCCCACATGTTATTTTTAGACACAACATGCAATATGATTGACAAGTGTTGTAGATTTCGTCACAAAAAATTTATATTCTCATGAACATGTCCGCAGAGTGTGCATTTTGCTTTTTAATTAAACTTAAAAATTCAAGGTACTTTTATATAATTAAGAGTCAGTTTCTCTATTTAACCGAACAGCAAACAAAGACTTAAAGTGCTACTGTGACGAAAATTCATCATCGAGAAAATTCCCTTTTTTGCTAGCAACGACTCTATTATTGCACCAAAAATGCTTGTGTAAAATTTCAGGCGAACATGATTAACAACCACGGAGTTACGAGCATTTGAAATGTCCAAAATCGCTGTCCGCCATTAAAATCCGCCATATTGATTTTATGTTGTCACGAGAGGCTTCTGACGTCATAGTCTCAACACACCGCAAGGGCACAAGTAGAATTAGTAAGCAAACGTAGAGCATCGCATGTATTTCAAGAACTAAAATGTTAGTTTCGTCGCGATCTAGTAGCGTTTCGGAGTATTTGTCTGAAACAGATTCTCCCGCATCTCATCTGTTTATATAACAGCGAATTCAAGCGAACTTGACAATGAATTTTTGCCATTTGATGATACTATTGCTGGATCCCCTTGCCTCGCCTGAAGAGGTAGCCGAGTACGAGGTCGACGAAGCTGTAGCAGAAGACGAAAAGCTCGGAAATATGTTACAAAATCGTTTAAAAGGCCATGCATGTTGATGTATCGTCTTGGTAAGTTTGTGTTCTTAAAACGTATCTCTGAACTTCTATTTTGCATTTTTTATAAGGTGTGAATCGGTGGTCATTGCTGTCAACCTGAAGTATGCCTACTATGCCGATGTTGTTATTAAACAAGCATTAACATATTGTGCGCGCACATTTCTTTAATATTATATATTTTATAGGTTCTTACGCGCAATTTTCTACAGACAGCTCGTGGTTTGGTATGAGATTTTACGGGCAGTTCAAGGCATCTCACATTACCGTGTTGTAGTTACAATAAAATATGATCAACATTCCCGAACACTGATCAGCGAGCTTACACGGAGTTTGAAAAAACAGCTCGATGGTTCATCTTCGGTTGTATCAGTCTTGTTTGCAGTTTCGCCCAACTCGTTTAAAATTTAAACCTATTTTCAATAATATGAGAACAACACTTGTCGCGTGAATTTATAATTGTCTGGACTTATCAGATTATGTAAATATGTATGTATCTAAAATATATTCATATCTGACTAAACCTGACTAAGCCTGTCTTTTGTTGGTAGTTGCGCAGGCGCTTTCCTCCAAATAATAGGCACAGAATCTGGTTTGATTCGTCTTTGCAAACCATCCAAATGAAATAAACGCTCAAAACAATTCGTTGAAAAATGGTCCAAACAAATCATGAATCCAATTTCCCGCGAGCTTGGATAAAAATTGGCGTGCTTAGTTTGCACAAATCTAACCGATATTCTTCTCAAAGATTCGTCATTTGGGCTCTTATGCAATGATCTACCCGCGTTTTTGTTAGAAGTATTGCTGCAATCTTGTACAACACAACGCGAAGAACGGACGAAGGCATGATCGAGTTTTACTATAGTCGCGTATATATTTTTATGTTGCGCGCCAGCATGTGTTGAGACTATGACGTCAAAGACTCCCGAACACTTGAACTTTCCAATATGGCGGATTTTAATGGCGGCTGCCAAAATTCGAACTTCATCGTCGTATAACTCAGGCAAAATATAAGATATCACGCTAAAATTTTGCGTGACAGCTTCTTTATACGCATTCTTCACAATCATGGAAAAAAAACAGAAGTGAAAATTTGGTCACAGTGGCACTTTAATTAGTCAGTTCTGTGCACGGCTTGACTGCCAAGCTTTCTCAAGGTCTCAACTTGCTGGACGCGGATATACTCTAACGACTAACGAGCTAACAACAGCAACAATGAAATTCTCAATCGTACGTACCACGAAGAAGGCGATGTAGATCAGAAAACAACGCCGGTAGGACCTGATATTAAAAATAAGACTTTTGCTGGCGAAACCAGTTGGCAGAACATCTGTTGGCGAAACCAGTTGGCAGAACGTTGGCTGTCAACAACAAGCTTTCGAATACATGACTAGTTTAGCTATTCTTTCAGCGTCGTGTGTGCAAAATTCGTCAAAGATTTTGATGAAGCCCTTTCAAAATACTGTTTGTTTGATTTATTTTCTGCCATAAAGCATAAAGGAAAAGAAATTCGAAGAAATCGATAATGGAATTTGTTACGTGCGTTTGACCTTTATATTAATTATCGCCCTTGACCGAGCTATTTTTAAAACTGTTGTTTATTATGCGAACTTGCAACCAATTAAAATCCTTCATGATGCTGATCAACCAATCAGATTTCCCGTCAACCAGATGGACGGGAATCCCACAGTTTCGATAGGTTTTGTGTCAGGCCCTATTCTGTGATTAGGGCCTGAACTTCAGGTTATCTACTGGCTGCCAATATGTTCATCAGGTTGGCAGCCGGTAAACAGAGCGGACACTTTCTGATGCCGAGTAACCCTACTGTTTGCGTTGACCTGCATGGTCTAAAGTAAAAGGTTTTAGTTGACTTATGAAATATACTGTAAGACTCTGACTGATCGCCGCATTTATACGGCAAACTACGCGAACAAATAGAACTGACACTTTTATTCACGTCTAGTGTAAACATCAGCCAATAAATACACTTACCATATAGACCAATTGATGTATATAACATTTCTTTATTTACCAACGATATCAAAAGAAATGATAATAATACTAATATTATAGAGACAGCGAAACATGTTTGTTTATGATGCATACTTCACTAAGTGTTTTGAGTTGACTGCGTTGACTTTGAATGACCAATGTTCTATTTTGAGGACTATCAATTCATAAATATTCACCAAGGTTTGCCACGATACTGACAATGAAAATATATATTGCGTTCATAGTATGTTATTACTGTGCATAAATTTACAGTAAACGACGTCAAAATGGTCAAACGCGTATGGGCCTGAATGTGCCCGGAAATATTTACGACTGCAACCCTAAACCATGGCGAAGGTGACGTTTCCTTTAATTAATTGCCTCGTATCAGTTTCTTTAGTTGGCAGGGAGCGATTGCAGAATACCCGTTCACTTTTGAAGACCCGATAGAAATATTGGTGGCTGCGTGGCAACGCAGTGAGTTTTAAATTTCGATAAATTAGAACGAGACGTTGGCAGTAATAATTGCGAAATTATAAGGTGGCTATAATTTTCACTGGTCACGCAGTGAGTTTTTAAAAGAACGAGACAATGAGACATTGATATAATACGTAATTACTAAAGTAGATACATTTTTTAGCGGCTACGTGGCTACACGGCTACGCAGTGAGTCTTTAAAAGAACGAGACATTGATATAATGACGTAATTACTAAAGTGGTATATTTTTAGTGGATATATTTTTAGTGACCAGTAATTCCAGGCATGACGATGGAGATACATCTTCAACATGATTATTATCGTGATATTTACCGGGCGGCCTTACATTGGCATCATCATATAGTCATGGCTGACGTCTGCAGTAATAACATTATAGCCTTCGAAGTAATAACAGAAATCTCTGTTTAAAAAAACCTAACACGAATTTTATGAAAAGTAGTTTCTCTTATCGTGGATCATCATGATGGAATAAACTACCTATGCAAATAAGGGATAACTACAATCAACTCTCTATTGACTTATTCAAAAGTACTATTAATGGATATTTCAAGTCATTGATTGTTGAGTGTTTGCATGATTTATGTCACTATTATATATATATATATATATATATATATATATATATATATATATATATATATATATATATATATATATATATATATATATATACATGTACTCTTTTGAGCTCTAAAAAAAACTCGTGTAGTCACTCTAACAATTGGAATTTTTTAGAAATTCTTGAGCAAAAAGCTTCTTCGAATCTGGTTTACCAAGATAAACGTATTAGATGGATTGGAAGCTATGAACTACTTGGGAATTTTGTTGAATGTGTTGTTAAACTAAACGGCAAATGGACTTCGCCTGGCGGTAGTGCCAAAAAGTTTACGTGCTGTAGTATGGACTTATCTATTACCTGGTACCCTGGAAAACAAAATTCACTAATACTACATGGAGAAGAAAGTCTAGCAGTGACAGAAATGTTCATCAATGTATGTAAATTATTAACAAATGGTGAATGTACCATTGAATGGTAAATATAATATATAATAATAATAGAATATATAATAATATAATATATCACTGGAAAAGAATTTGATTTACATACTTTGCAAAAATGATGTAACTTTACTGCAAATTTACAGTAAAACCAAATTTCCAACAAAAATGTACATTGACATGGTATGTAAATTTTTGAATTGTATGTAAAATCCGTGTCAATTCAATGTAAATATCTACACTTTTTTCGGAAAGGCTGTAATGACCCTGGAAAAACCATGTGAAACTTTGAGCAAATTTACTATGTAAAAACCCTGTAAAAGATTCCTCAAGAACCGTGTCAAAAGCTTAATTTTAAAAAGCCTGCAAACTTATTGTAAAAATGGTGGAAATTCCTCTGTCCAAATTATGTAAAAACAATGTAAAAAATCTGTAAAAGTAAATGAAAGAAAACCTGCAAAAAAGCAAATTCACTATGTAAAAACCCTGTAAATTTAATTTAAAAAAGCCTGGAAACTTATTGTAAAAATGGTGGAAATTCTTCTGTCCAAATTATGTAAAAACAATGTAAAAAAGCTGTAAAAGTAAATGAAAGAAAACCTGCAAAAAATCAAATCTACTATGTAAAATCCCTGTAAAAGATTCCTCGAGAACCGTGTCTAAAGCATGTAAATTTAAATTCAATAAGCCTGGTAAATATAATGTAAAAATCATGCAGTTTTAAATTCCAAGGAATCATGTAAAAATCACGTAAATTTATCTGCAACGAACCATGTAAATATGCTGTAGGAAACCAATTAGCAATTCCGAAGTTGATGAGAGGACTGGGGACGAGTGTTAAATTAAGCCCAAATTAAGAAATGAACCAAATAGCTAAAAAGACCACCCCAAAATTAGTAAGTATACAAAGTTTGAAAACGTTTGCATGAATACCCTTCGAATAATAAGCTTTCGAAAATTGTGAAATTAGTGATTAAAAGATTGTTTTTCGGACGCGCGTCCCAAAAACAAAAATTACAATACGTCTCATAGTAAATATCGCAATTTTTGAAAGCCTATATATTATTCGGAGGATATTCATGTAAACTTCTTCAAACTTTGTATGCATACTAATTTTGAGGTGGCCTTCTTTTCTTAATTTGGGCAATTTTTAACATTCGTCCACAGTCTACTCATCAACTTCGGAATGGCTAATATGGAGAATTTCGGTAAAAACACAGTTATAATGTGAAAAACCCTGCAAATTTAAATTGAACAACCCTTTAATTTAAATTTTATATAATCAGAAAAATGATATAATATATACAGAATGAACGCATAGAAACTTTTTGTTAAAAAATCTATCAGTATTACTGCAACGAGCAACAACGTGCATGTAAATATAGTAGCCTACAATAAAATATGGGATATAGTATATACACTGCCTCGTACCCAGGCGCTTACATGAAGTATTCAGGTAGGCATCCGACGCGCGAAGGGGCTGTTGGGAAGGGTGCATGCTGGGGAGCGCCTGGCAGTTCTTGTATACTGTCATGGCGGGAAAACAGGGAATTTTATACAAAAAGTTACCATATCGTCATATACTCTGTGTGTAAAACCTTACTTTGTGATGAAGAGTTGAATTGAACGCCATTGGCAAATAATAATACATTTGTAGATGTTCGATGACATGCAAAATGCGCGAAAAATTATGAGTAAATAACATGACAAGTTAACCGTGCGAATATTTCGAATATGTCATTCGATATTACATGGAGAATAATAAAATGCTATCAGTTACTCAGTTAGCATAAAACAGTAACAGAGAAATGATTAGAAAGTCATATAATTGCTTTTGTATTAATAACTTCTTTAGCTGAAAGCTCAATCAGTCGATCACAATGCCAATGGCAATTTCTATTAAATGTATACTGTAAACAAAAGCCAAAGTAAATAAAAGTTCACAGCCGTAAAGTTTGAAATATTTATTACAATAGTGCAATTTTATAGTCTGTACCTTTATATAGTTATAGCTTACAAATCTAGTTCCTGCAAGTCTAGTTCTTCAACGCTTCGGTTGTTGACATGTTAATATTGGAATTTCCATGGACTTTAAGGGCATATATATGTCATATATACCAAGAATAACAGCATAAATTCACGCCCGGATGACAGAAGAATATTAACATTAGTCAATTCAACAAAAACAAGTAGCAAAAAATCGTAAACGACAACGAAATAGCACAACTTGCAAGAAATCGTACAAATTTGCAAGAAATCGACCAAGAACTGCCAGGCGTCTCGCAGTTCAAGTGCACTCTTCCCATCAGCCCCTTCGCCATCTCTCCCCACTACAATACTTCATGTAAACACGTCATATGGGCATCACTGTTTTTTTACAAAGAGACGCCTGGGTACGAGGCAGATTGTATTCTATAACGCACGCCACGCGCCAACACGAGGATTCAAAATGGCGGCTCAACCGGTCAAAAATCATAGAGCGAGATAGGGAAAAACCATGTTTTTCGCATTTTACGCCTGTCTACTGTTTCCGATCCCGTTCAACCACCTTTTTTGGGGAAGAACTAACTGGTGTGAAGGTTTTGGATGAATATTTGTACAATTTAAGTTGAATAAAGACGAAATAATCGATCGCTAAATGTTTTCTGAAAATCATCATATAGTCGGTTGAGCAGTTCGAGACATTTTATTGCAGAAATTAAAGGTTTTGGTTCTTTGGGTGCTTTTTTTCTCGAGGATCTCGGTTGGGATATATAACAGGGAATAATATTGTGAAGTATTTTGAAGTTTAAACCTATTTTACTTCATTTATTTGGTCTGCTGGTGCGAAAATTCTGATGCTCTGTTTAGTGTGACTTTGACAACCTCCTTGCTGCTGCAGATGTCAAGGGATCTCAAGTCTATATGGCCTGGACAGTGAAAAGTGATGAATCAATCAGGTTTGTAGAGTGAACTAGTGACAGCGAAAGTTTTCAATGGAAACTAGTTTGAAGAAACTGCTTAATTTGTCTGGTATGCATCAAAAACCTTCACAGTATCTAGTTCTCTCCAAGAAACCTGATTGATTCATCATTGATAATCAAAAATAGATGGGACGGCATCTTCGTTTAGATATTTCTTGGATTGGCATTTTATTGATTGCTCTCTGCAGTCGGCATTCTTCCCTTCGGACACTCTCCCCTTGAGACAGCTGACCCAAGCATCAGCACTCTCCCCTTACGAGTAGAATTGTCTGGCGTAGCCAGAGTAAAATAATTAAGTAGGGCACAAAACGGCTCAATGGGTTAACTATACACATTTGCAGGTAGGCCAGTTAACCCATTAAGTGCCACTGCTCTCCTCTTGATGAGTAAAATTGTCTGGCGTTAGATAGAGTAAAATAATAAAGTAGGGCACCTTGCAACACCATGGATTAATATAATCATCGGGTGTGAAGTATAATCATCCGGTGTGAAGTGTTTCTCACACAAGAATGAATATTTGATTGGCATTGAGTCTGCCCATTTCATTTTTTAGCAGGCTGGGATTGGTTATAGGAAATCCAATAGTGCAAAGGGAAAGATGTATTTTTGGTTCACTGATGTGAACAAAACTAAAACATTTTTGACTTTGAACAGGACAAGGAAAAAAGTTGTTGTCAACATGCATATATAGAGAGAGACTCTCCTAACACAGACATCAAAACAAGAAGTTCTTTTTTGGTCTAATATTCTTTTATTAAAACTGTAAATAGTTTTATATTGTAGCTGCCAAACTCAAAACTACATTTGTTGTGACGTTGTCATTACAGTATTTACAAAACAAATTCTTTTTATTCTATTATTATTCTGTTTATATGATGTAAGTTATAGACTTATAGTGTACAAATATGTGATGTGTGTGTGTTTCATAGACTTACTTATGGAAGAAAAATCGAATAACATCCCACGTCTGTCTTGTAGTAATACACTGAACACGATTCTGGCCGACTTTCAAGCATTCTTTTCGATAAAAAAAAACCCAGATGGAATAGAAGCCCTAGAATTTTCAGATGAAAATACTGTATTTTGGTCGAAATAACAATGAAAGAACAAAATAAACAGTAATAGCTTTTGGAATAGTTAGAAATATATAATATTACTTGAGAAAAACTCGTAAAAGACTGAAGGAATACACAGGAAGAAACTAAAGACGAAAACCGCGCGAAACTGCAGGCCTGCCCAATCTTGCCCGGTTGAATCGTACTTTGTATTAACCATGGTATAAAATTGTACTGATTGTACAAATTTTCATCCAAAACCTTCACACTAGTTAGTTCTTTCCAAAATAAAGTGATAGAACGCGATCGGAAGCTTTAGGACGACGCAAAATGCAAAAAACATGGTTTTTCCCTATCTCGCTCTGTGATTTTTGCCCGGTTGAGCCGCCATCTTGGATTTTCAAAATATGTCACGCCGGTTGAGCCGAGTCAGCAATCTAGGTCTCCTATATCTATGGGTTAAAGGGGCGAAGTTGATAGCATAGTGGCTAAGGGGGTGAAGTCGGTAGCATGGTGATTAGGGGGCGAAGTTGGTAGCATAGTGGTTAAAGGGGCGAAGTTGATAGCATAGTGGCTAAGGGGGTGAAGTCGGTAGCATGGTGGTTAGGGGGCGAAGTTGGTAGCATAGTGGTTAAAGGGGCGAAGTTGATAGCATAGTGGCTAAGGGGGTGAAGTCGGTAGCATGGTGATTAGGGAATAGAGGGGCAGCGAGAGCTGTTGCGCAAACAGTGCGGGGGCAGGATGGGGAAGAATGTTACCTTATTTTGAAAGCCGTGAGTTATTTCACATAATTTAAAATCGAAAACACTTTTCAAGCAATTTAGCTCAAATTTAAATTTTAAATACCTCTAAGGAAACATTATCAAGGTTTTGATCTTTATAAAGAAAAGGGGGAAAAGAGCCTTCCTAAACAATGGACAAACTGTCCTGTTTTACATTTTAGTCTTTAACCTGATGCAACGCATAAGATCGTTTCAATCAACACGTACCGAAATAGTCTAATTATATTGGCCATAGTCAAGTGTATGCGTTCTGAAAATTTAACGAACATTGCCACCCACAAATATTTCCGCTAACCAACTTTTGCTACCACCTTCGGCCAATAACCGCCATGCTACAAACTTCCCCACGTTAGCCACTATGCTACCAACTTCGCCTCATTAACCAACATAATGATGCGCCGGCGATTGTTGATGAATTTTAGACTTCGCTAATGCTCTCCTTCACCCAGTTTTAAATAGCCATGCGGAATTAGTACCCTCGCCCGAGCTTTCGCCCGGAACGGCGCTGCGGGGCGTTTGCTTGAGGGCAAGAAAAAGATCTTATACTTTGAAAATATTCGGTGCATGCGTGCAATGTTGTGTGCAATACTTTTAAAGTATAAGCTTTTCTTAACAATCCTGCGAAAAATTTAGACCCAAAAACATGAAAAAATAATGCACCAACAGTAACCAAAATTTTGAAGTTACGCAAATTTGCGTGCATATTTACTTCAATTGCTGAATTTGCACCACTCTGATTCGAACAATATGAGGCAAAGCATCTATGCAGTTTGGTTTTGACTACCTCACGGGCGTTTGTTGCGGATGATGCCAATTAAATTGTGTACATGTGACGTCCGTGTTGTCAAAAACTTTGCTAGATCAATGGACCATTCCCCAATTAATTAACCAAATTTTTATCTCAGCACGTCTAGACAAAATTCCATCATAGCATCACAAAATTAGTAATATTCCAAAGTTTCGTTGCGCAATGTTGTAAAATGCGGATAATATAGCCTTGCGAAATTTGCAATTTTCAGTCATTTTAGATTGCAAACTTCGCAAGGCTATATTATCCGCATTTTACAATATTTTGCAACGAAACTTTGGAATATTACTAATTTTGTCAGCCTAGACCTAGACCTTCTAGTCTTATTTATATTTTTTTAATATTCAGCGCTTTTTCACAGGAAAAGAGTGGGACTAGGTGATTTGGGGGCGGGGCGGAGGAAGCAAGCCTAGAAGGCCTAGTGGATTTCCCAACAACAAGGCCAAAACTGCCCTGAAACTGCCCTGGTTGCAAAATGCCCAATTATTGCTTTCTCGGACAGAATTATTTGCAACTTAACGGCGAATTTAAACCGATACAGGTAAAATAAACTCATTTATAGTATAAACTTACTGTTTTATTTGTATACATGTCTAGAAAATCGGGTTTTTTATCATAAAGTTCGAAGCAACACTATTATTTAATTATATGTTGACAAGGTGTAGCGAAAGCACAAAATGAGTCAAAATATATACCAAAAGTAGAATCTTTCATGAAATTTTGTCTTATACACAACTACATTAATGGCAAGAAGCAGTCTTGTGTTTGTAAAATATACAAAATAAAACGGATACATATATTATTAGCCCGTACAGTACTGTATATAAAAACGTATATTGTTTACAAATGGTATATCCGTAATATTTGAACAGTAATTTCAAAATCCTCATACCCAATTCGCAAATATAGTTATTCAAAGCAAAACAGTAGATTGTCTAGCGAATAAAAGAATTATTATTTTGTGCCGTTTCGCTACACCTTGTCAACATATATAAATAGTGTTGCTTCAAACTTTAATGTCTTTATGATAAAAATCCCGATTTTCTAGACGTGTATACAAATAAAAATAGTAAGTTTATACTATAAATGAGTTTATTTTACCTGTATCGGTTTAAATTCGCTGTTAAGTTGCAAATAATTCTGTTTGAAAACGCAACAATTGGGAATTTCGCAATCAGGGCAGGTTCAGGGCAGTTTTGGCCTTGTTGTTGGGAAATCCACTAGGCCTTCTATTTTTCGCTTGCGTCAGGCTTGTGTTCTTCCTCCGCCCCGCCCCCAAATCACCTAGTCCCAGTCTTTTCATGTGAAAAAGCGCTGAATATTATAAAAATATAAATAAAAATAGAAGGCCTAGGTCTAGGCTGTAATTTTGTGATGCTCTTTCAAGTTGTGATGAAATTTTTGTCTAGACTTGTTGAGTTCAAAATTTTGGTTAATTGGGGAATGGTCCATTAAGGTCTTCAATATGAATTTTTGGAAAGTAAATCAATAAAGCGGACGTTTTAATACATATTTTATGTGTCTAATTTATTTTCAACAGAAATTCTGCAAAGCAGTAGCGGCTCTCCTGCATTTCTTTGTGTTGTCAGCCTTCGGATGGATGTTGTGTGAGGGGATATTACTGTACATCTTGCTGGTCAAAGTATTTGATGGTGCACATGGCAAGCACTGGAAGATCTTTAATTTTATTGGCTGGGGTAAGTAGTCTGTCTTTCTGATCGTGGACAATTACAGTATAGGACTCCGCTATGTCGAACTTAAAACCATTTCCCGTGAATTCGCCCATCATGATCTGACTATTTCAATAATTTTATTCGGTTGTAACAAAATGTTGGCACAGAATATGAATGCGCTCTCTCAGTTTGAGAGATGCTCATACCAAGATTGTTCAATATATTCACTGAATTGGCCGTTAAAGACCAAAGTAAAGAGTCTGAGAAATATTTTCATTTAACTTTGAAGGCTGAAGGCTTGCGGCATTTTCAGTTAAACAGAAACCTGTCCATTGCATGTCTTTAGCCTACATTGTAATTTTCCAGTTTATTAAAAAATCGCAGTTATACATGGCAGTAAAATTATTGTTTTTAACAATTTGACACTTACTTGATTTGTCGAAACACCGATCTCTGGAAAGTTTTTCTTATATTCGTTAATTGTAATTGTTCGAGATAGCGAGGTTCTACTGATATATTCACCATTTAAAAAAGTTAAGTAAGGACATATTCTAATGACAGGACAGCAGATGTTGGCCAACTTTAGAAATGTGTACACTATAATAGGAGTAAGAAAATATTTGAAGTACATCATCTTCAAGTCTTCTTGCGAGCAAACACATTTTCGATATCATATTTCCCAAAATCCTGATATTTACTTATACACCTTATGTCGGGATGACCTTAGTATATATGGATGAACTTGAGATTATAGTTCAACAACTGGACTCCGTACTAGCTAGGTTGGTTAGAGTGCTGAACCCGAATCGCAGGGCCGCATGTTCGATTCCTTCTAGTGGCCAATATTTGCATTTTTCTCAACTGTTTCCGGTTCGGTCTAATAAGTATATAAAATTTACACTCGAAATTTTCTATCTACAAAACTTATCAACATATCGTTTATTCAGGAATTCCTCTATTGATTGTTGTTATATCATTTGGAGCCACTCAAGGAGAAGGATATGGAACAGAATCTTCATGTTGGCTTAGTGTTGAAAATAAAGTGATTTGGGCGTTTGTGGGACCTGCATTCCTTGTCATATTGGTAGGTGCTCTCAACTAATTCTTTAGGCCATGTAGTTTGTGCGCGTATCTGTCATCCCTGAAAGGAAATATCGTTTAGCAGTAACGAACTATATACTAATACATGTATAAAATATATGACAGGTTTTCTTCGTCCATCTTTGTTTTTGATATTTATTTTATCTTCCAGGCCAACACAATCGTGTTTGTCATGGTGTTACGTACAATGATGAACTCTTACAAAATCAAACAAAGGGACAATATTGGTAAAGTCAGAGCTGGTATAAAAGCCGCTGTAGTCATCTTCCCAATCCTTGGCTTGACTTGGGTGTTTGGCTTGATGACTTTCAACAAAGAAACGTTGTTCTTCCGCTATCTTTTTGCCGTGTTCAATTCCGCTCAAGGAATGCTCATTTTCTTGTTCCATTGTACCACTAATAAACAGGTAAGGGCCGGAAGGATATCTGAAGGTTGGCTGTCCATTGTGTGCAATATTAATAACTTACTGACCTCAACCGTTCGGGCAGTACTGGAAAATATCCAACCGAGGTCTTGCTGTAATGATCGAGCGATAGCGAGGTCAATACAGCAAGACCGAAGTTGGATATTTTCCCGTACTGCCCGAACGGTTGTGGTCAGTAAGTTTTTTATTATATGGCATTGTACGTGTGTAAAAATGAGAAGAGCGCAAAGTAGGGAGTGAGTGAGCGCAAAATGGAAAGTCCGAAACATTTGGGAAAAAAAACAATTGTAAGAAATGTTCTCTTGGTTAGAAAAACTGCTCTACAGCAATTTTTATATAGAATACTAACACAGTTTGGATAGTATTTCAAGAAAAACACGAGGTATTTCGTCATTTAATCAAACACAACAAATATGAATACAATAAAATTAATAAACAGTATGGACAAGTACGTTTTTAGTTCGCTTCATCTCATATTTATTTCTCTTCATGCAACAATAACAGAAATTTTCAGGAAAAATTATAAATCTGTGGCTGCTTTAGTTCAATTTTTTATTTAGGATGATGTTCCTGACTGCTTGAATAGTTACTAGAAAATACATGCATGCAGAAACCCTCGCGCCTTGCTGACAAAACCATTGTATTTTGCGAACGTGAAGTGTTTAAAGTAGTTGTCATGGTAATACGATCATTTTTTAAGAATATTTTTACAAAAGAAAAATACCCTAAAAATATCACTTTTAATTACAAAATTATTAATTTCCCAAACATGTATATGTTAAGTATGTTATTATACGTAATATAAGCTTGAATTTAAGGTAAAATTCAACCACAAACGCTTCGCAAAACGTTTTAAAGTGCTCTTTTAATATAGAACTAAACTGCCTTTATCGATAAAATTTGAGTTCGAAATAAAATAATTCCAAATTCTCGCATGCAAATAACTTTGCTTATTACAATAAAAAGGGTAATCAGTAGAGAAACACTGAAATAATATACTGTCTTGTTTCATATTTATACGCAACGATCGGCTTTTAAATAATTACAGTATATTAAAGGCAAACAATGCATCAATATTTAAAATTAACTTACCTTCGTTAACATCGGTGCTTTTACTCGCTTCTTTTAGCAATTCTTTTGCCTATATTTTATCAAAAAGCTTTTGAAACTCACAAAATCTTGCAAAAATGAAATATATTTGCAAGAAATCATCAAATCAAGAAATGTTTGCTATTTCGCTGTCGTCATGCAGTCCTTATAATGCAAATTTTAAATTGGACCAATCAGTGTTGGCTATGCATGACAGTCCGCTATATTATGAGATCAGTGAGGATGACCACCCACGCATAGTGACCCACGCCCGCGATCATTGATGAACTTTAAACTTCGCTAACGCTTTCGTTTCCCCTCGTGTAAATAGCCGGGCGGAATTATTCTACCCTCGCACGGCGCTTGGTGCCGTTGGCTCGGGGATTAAAGCACTTAAGGGACACTTTTTCCATTTGAATTTTGTCTACACATACTCGTCACACAATTAATCAGGAACATCTCCTGTTTATTTGAGATTCTGCCAGCTCCCTGCAGTGGGAAACACACTTATTTACAACTATTTCACTTAGTCATTAAACAGCCCCGTTTCTTGTATATTAGATCTAGTCTAACACTTCAGTCTACATATTTCCCTTAAACATTCTATCGGCGTCAATAGGCCTCCTTAAACGACGTTAACTTTAATAATATTTAAACCTTTAAGTCAATAATGTTCGTATCATGTCTGCCCTCTAATTCATTAATGTACTGAATTGTTCTGAGCGTAAATTCAACAACACAATTTAATGGGAAACCATTCACGGTTGCCGGGGTTATCCATACCAAAGATCATGGGCGTACCGGAAGGAAAAAATTAGGGGGGCGGACTAGTACCGAAAATTTTTTTCCGGAAAAATTGTTTTGGCCACCTCCCCCCCCACCCCCCCGTCGCCAAAAAATTTTCGATCAGTGTACCATTTTAAGGGTCAAAAAAATTTTCCGGACATAACAAATTTTTTCGTAACATCACACAAATTTTCCAAAAACAACTACATTGGCCACAAAATTGACTAAATTCTCGACAAAATTGACAGAATTTGTCCCATTTATTTTTATAACAAACCAAAATTGCCCGGCTGTAACTCGAATATCGCCAGACTGCCCAAAAAACTGGGCGGCTACCGCCCCCCCCCCCCTCCGCGCCCCGCCCGGTACGCCTATTCCAAAGATGGAAAACATCTGTAATACCATAGATTACAAAACCAAGTTGCGGAGCCGAACACGAAAACCAGAAAATAACCCCGTGGGAAAAAGGCTGAAACGTGTTCTCCATCCCATGCTGCAGCAACACCAGGAGGTTAAAAGCAAATTGTCTCTTTCTTCATTGTCTTGTAAACTATTGTCTTCCGTCATTTCACTGCATTGCGGCTTTTCATAATAGGGCAATACCGAACCTGCAAAAAAAACAAAAAAAACACGAACCTAACAGCGAGTGGTAAGGAAACTGGCTAGATAACTTCCACACGTGTTATACCATGCACCCTTAAATACTCTACTCCTGTCCCAGCTCACACCGTGGCCTCACGTGATGCTCATGTGCCGCCAAAATATTAATTTCTGTCTATTCATTAGCATTGATTATCCAGATATTGAATAATTTTGTCTATACTTACTCATCACACAATCAATCAGGAAAAACTCCTGTTTATTTGAGATTCTGCCAGCTCCCTGCAGTGGGAAACACACTGCAGTAGTTAGAGAACAGAGTTTGGGCAAGACTGGTTGATACGTTACTTTTATATTTGTATCGATTTAGAAACTTCCGACTTGTTAATAGTGCTATCATCAATGTACATGTTCTTAAACGACTCTGATTTCCAGCGTCCATGTCTCTGTATGAGGGGGTCATTTAGACCGGAATTCGCTGCCTTGGTAGCTCCTCCTGGCCTCAGGGAATGAGAGCTATACATATTGGGGTCTTCGACAACACAATCTAAATTTCAACAGATTTGAGGCTGTTCCTGAAGGTAGTATAACTGATATGTCTGTTGTCTTTAATAAGACTATGATGAGATCTAGATTTAACGATAGGCCTGAATATATATTTGTCGCAATCAGAAGGAATCTGAACTCGAGACAAATACAGTTCAAGCAATCTTATACACGACGTATGTGAGGCCTTTTTGCTGATCAGTACTTTATCAGTACACATTTGTGAGATGATCTGAGGAGAAAGAAAGATCGCATCGTTTATTGCGGACGAGATCATCAAAACGTAATAAATCTACGAATGCTAACGAGTACATGCAAACATTGCGCAGTTCCAATGTATTATTAAGATTTGCTCTAGAAATCATAAGATTCAACTGTTCGATAGTTAATGACTGTTTTCTATTTGTCTGCGACGTACCCAGGATTCTCCTCGCGCCCTCTCGGACGAAATTAACGATACTGTTATCAGTGGGAAATGGTACCCCCGCTATAGTATGAGCCCATTTCAAGGCGTAAAATGCTGCGTCTACAGAATGGTATGAGCATTCCTCTCTAAAATATGTTGTAGCTGTCCACTGTATAGGGCCCCATAACTTATCAAATTCGGGAACTACAAAGTCGTGAATTGTATAGTCGTCATAATCAAGAATGTCACTCATAAAATCCGCTTGGTTATTAAAACACTCAAGGGACCCATTTGACGTCCAAATTAATATGCGATTCTAAACATACTTCAAACAAATGTAACGCCATGGTATGCAATTCTGAATTTCTACTCCATTTAAATACTATCAATACAACGTGCAGATTATCAGTAAACCAAACGATTGTTCGATTGTTAATATGAAGTTTAACCGCATCTAAAGCTAAAATAACTGTTCTTAACTCCCGCCAGGTTGAGCTCTTACTTTGCTCTTCTTCTGTCCAGTTGCTGTGAAACATTTTCTCATCGATTTAGAATTGCTCCGCATGGCACGATCAGAGGCGTCTGATTAGACAACCTTATCTTGCCAAATTTGTTTATCTATAATAAATTTGGACGCCCCAATTTGTTTCCAATAGGAAACGCATTTGCTCAATCTGCCTCGAACAGACACCAAAATATTGTTGTTGTACGCGAGCTTTATTTCACCCTACGAGTGGGAGTTCGGCCTAACATCAGTCTCTAAACAATCATCAGTCAATTCATTATCTATGTTTAATAATGAACAACTCACGCAAATGGAATGTACATTAAGCACTGACTCTTGTGTCAGTCACCCTCTGGAAATTCCTGGGCATTCATTTCTCCAGTGTCCGAATTTGCCGCATGAATAACAGCTGCCAGATTTGAAATTGCTTACGTTTGTGGCTGAGGAATAATTTAATTAAAGAAGTACGAGAAGTGCGAGTTTGAACGTTTGGTGTATAGTATCTATTCGTTAAATCCTCGCGCTTCGGTGGCGATTCGTATTTCCTAGCAAGCGATTTTGATCGAATTCGCCTACTTTGAGCTTTAGCACGAATTTCGGATTTTTTAAAATTCGTTTTTCGTCTTCAGAATCTTCAGCTAATTCATGCTTCTTGTATTCATGAACAGTCGCCCATCCAAATTCCGATTTATTGGCAAGAAGGATATGCTTCTGCCCCCCATTTAACATATGCTCACCTTTCTGTAAATGATCTTGTGCCTTTGTAATTTCGCTCTTCTCCAAAGCTTCAGAGACTTCTGCCAATGAATCGAGGACTTTAGTGTTGAATTTGTGCTGGTCTTCGTTAGCTTTCTTCTTAAAGCTGTGCGGTTCTGAATACTTCAGCCTCTTGATTTCTTTCATTTGATTCTCAGCATTTTCAGTAGAAGATATTTTTAATTGTTGAACTGAGCTATCCAGTAAGCTTTTCATTGACTGTAAAAGTGTATGGTTATTCTTCTGTATTTCATTCTCAATCATGACAATCAATGTTGTCGTTCGGTTTCAAGCTGTTCCGCCATCGTCAAGTTCCAAAAAAACACGAAGCCGACAGCGAGTGGTAAGGAAACTGGCTAGATAACTTCCACACGTTTTATACCACCCTTAAATACTCCCCTCCTGTCCCAGCTCACACCGGGGCCTCACGTGATACTCACGTGCCGCCAAAATATTAAATTCCGTCTATTCATTAGCATTCATAATCAAGAAATTGAGTAAGCTCGGCTCTCGTCGCAGGGCAATAAAAATTGCGTATTGCAGGGGGGCAATCCTGCCTCGTCAGCAACCAATCAAATTGCGCGATTCATCAAAACAAATGCTTGCCATATAATAATTTACAATATTGAACTGTCTTTTCCAGTGTAGGTAGTGCCAATAAAATGAACAAGTTTTTGTTGTTAGGGATGAAACTACATGAAAATATATAAGAAGAATTTTGACGTTTCGGCCGAAGGCCTTTCGTCTGGAGTTACTGAGTAACTCCAGACGAAGGGCCATCGCTCGAAATGTCAAAATTCTGCTTATATATTTTCAAGTAGTTGCATCGATCGCTACCAACAAACGCTTGAATACTTTACAATAAGCAGTGCGCGCATTGCCCTAAAAAGATTTATATCTCAAACGTGAGGTTCAGAATAATTAGTGTTCTACCATCAGCTGCCGTAATTTTTGTTTGAAACGAGCTGAACAAGCAAATAACTCAAGCGTGTTGTTAATATTCTACAATAAGTTCTCATGGCAGTTTAGCCACAAACTACGATAGCCTAGGTCTGTTTTACACGTCGAATTTTGGTCGCGTCGAATGCAATTAAGACAACAGATAATGAGATGCATGATAAACCTCATTAACCTTCATTATCTATTGTTTAATTTGCATTCGACGTCACCGAAATTCGACGTCTAAAACAGGCCTTAAATTAGAATAATATTTATACACTAAAACTCCACTATATGTTTGTCAGGTAAATTACATACAAGTCCCGCATCTTATTTTAAATCTACACTAAACGACACGTCTTTTTTGGTTGTTCAGAGACAGGCGGGGGAATATAATATTTTTTAATACTGCGCTATCTAGACGCCTGAGATATCCTTTTCAGCTAGTTTAAAAAAGAAATACACGGTAGCTTTTTGCAGAATACTTCTGGCACTCGACCCTCAGTTTGAGGTTATCTTTTTAGGTCGTTCAGACTTAACGCACCGCAGCATATTGTGGAACACTATGTTCAATTAATCTCCACCTTTGAGATATCTTTTTCAGGAAAAGATTAAAAACATTTCAAGATCATTTTTTTAACAGATTTATTGAGTTATCTTGTATACAAATTATACAAATTATTTCACCAAAAATTATCAACACATACAGGGTGTATCAAAAAACCTGTAAACACTACAATTTGCATAATTATGCTGCTCACTAGCATTTCAATGTCTGTGCTACTTATTTTGCTCCTGAGATTTGAAAATACAATCTAATTAACCGTGTTGATAGAAATTAGAATAACACAAAGTTATTTGTAATGCAGAAAACTAATTATCAGTTCGACTGCGAATGAGTCAACTATTGTATTTACGCATGCTTGGGATCAATTAGTTCCGAATCATGCAAATTCTAAAAATATTGTATTTCAAAGGGTTTTCAGGATTTTTTATACACCTGTATATACAGGGTGTCCCAAAAAACGCAAAACCATTGAAATAACGTATTGTTAAAATTTGAATGCCCTAGCACTAAGCTGAACGCAAAGATTCGTGAATATTGACAGGGTCTACAGGGTGAGTAAAAATAAAACTGACACGTTTGTTATTCAAATTAGCTGCGAAGGTATCAGTTTTTTTTACTCACCCTGTGACTTATTAAGAAATTTAAATATCTTAGTAAAGCGCACGATCTTCTGCTCTTGGGAATTAAAAAACAGCTTCTTAAACGGTTTCCTTATTTATAAAATTTTCAATCTTTGATGCACGTGTGGGTTCAGTAGAGTGCCGAGGCATTTTTAGGACACCCTGTACATACTAAAAAAGTATATACTAAAACTGTCTGTACCAGTGTGCTTAGCACCAATGTGAAAATGCTGTGCTGAGTGGTTATATAATTACTACCTTAAAAAAACAAGCAGAAACTCGACGTTTAGAGCGAAGGCCCTTCGACGTTTCGAACGAAAGGCCTTCGCTTCAAATGTGGAGTTTCTGCTTGTTTTTTAAGGTAGTAATATAACCACTCAGCACGGCATTTTAAAAAAGTATACCTTTTGAAATCAATTCCTGTTGGAATTTGAATGCCATATTGCTGTGCTGAACCGACGGGTGCGTAAACAGAATAGAAGTGATATGACTAATTAGTATAACTTGACAATTTTGTATGTAGTTATGGTCTTTAATTTATACGACTAGAAGCTATTGCCAATTCTCTGGGGCCGGTTGTACGAAAGGCGTTTAACTTAAAGGGGAACTCCAGTCCAAATACAAGTGTGGTTTATATGAAAGATCTTCCCCTTATTAGAATGTTCCTCAAGTATTTCGGTCTAAATATTGATAGTAAAGGAGAAATTGCTTGTCAAAGTTTGCGATTTTGTCAAATTTGGGCGCCATGTTGTTCTTTTCACTGCAGACTCGGATTTGTCCAGCGCCCTCATTTTTGACGTCATTGCGTGCTTCGAAGGTGTTGTTCATATAGAAAACTATGGCTTTGTATGGCGATTTAATAAGATATCGATTATTTCTCTGCTTCTAATTCTTTAATTAATGTGAGTTTAGACCGATTTAACAGAGATATTTTACAGACGGAGATATTTTACATTGCCGAGCTTCTGTCTAAGGTGAATCAAGAGTTGCCAGGTCATGTTCATGTTGGTGTACGGAAAGCTTGCGCAGAATTAAATAATTATATGTTGCGGTTGTTGCCCTGTGTGGATCTGGCTCTTGTTGGACTCTCGGATCCAATTTGCCTGAATATCGATGCTGCGTTTGCGTTCAGCAACGATTTATCGGTTGATGAGACTTCTGTTTAGACTGTTTGCTCATGTATGCGAGCAATAAGATTAATTGCGGATTTGCGGTTTAGTATCGGGTATTTCACTGAAAGTCACAGATATACAGTAGTCGTGGCCATGGATTTATATCAATTTTAATCGAAGAGAGGTGAGAGAGAAGAGAGTCGTTACTCGTATGAATGAATGCATGGGTATCTTTTACTGCTAACATGTCTTTAATCATTTGTTTAAGTTTGCGAATTGAATCAGCCTGTCCTTGAGTTAGGGCTTGAAGCTGACTGCTACAAGCAGTTTCAGTCGCTGAAAACATTTTGTTATTCATTGTGCAATTACGGTAAATAGACGTCTTACTTTTAGCGATTCTTTGACTTGCGAGTTTGCGTCAAGGCATTTGCATATATGAAATGAATCTAGACATCAATAATATAAAATAATGTTACCTAGATAATTCTGAGGGCAGACTACATGCTGGGCTACTATCATGTCGCATGACAAGCTGTTTATAGAAATGTATATTTGTCTGTTGGCTGTAACCTGAAGTTCAGGTGATGCTATTTAAATAAAGTACGATGAGATTTAAAAAAAAAAGACAATCCTTACAAAAGAATTGTTTTATAACAGACAGACAAGCACAGGGTTTTAAACATTCGTTGTAGTGTTGGGTTCAATATGGTTATATGGGTTTTATTTATACACGACAGTGTCAAGTTACTAGTAAGGACTAAGTACCCACATGAAATGTTTATACGCAGTTGTTGCGATGGTTTAACAGGTTTATAGTTTACTGTTATTTTATATAAACTGTCTTAAATGCAACATGCCTATGAATTTTTTGGTTCGGAACACTGTCACAGACTATTTCAGAAATCTCAGAACCTAGTTAGTAACCAACATTCAACAACCTCACTTTCCGCTACTCCAGTATATTATTGCTAGATGTTTCAGCCTTGCCCAACCGATTTTAAGTTTTTAACTACGATTGATATATTTTCAGCAAGTCGGAACAAGAAAATCCATTTCGCAAATTTGCACAATATTCAATAAGTATCTAG